ATGACAGAGAATGTAAATATAAACTATGCACTTTCAGTGTTTACTAGGTTTTAGCCTACTGAACATGTTAGATTTAGCACTTATTGAATATATACTGAAAGACAGCTACTATGCCAGGTGCTTTACATATATAATCTCATTTTATCTTCACAACAATCCGTGAGGCCTGTAGGTATCATCTTATTGAGATTCAGAAAGTTTAAACAACCTTCCACTTACACACAACAGTAAGTCGGGGAGTTTGGACTTGAATCCAAGTCTTTTGTCTTTAAAAATGATGCTCCTTCCTCTTATATTTTCATATTATCAGAGTCTTTGAGGATTGCAAAAGAGTTATTTTTAATTTTTTTCAAAATGGTCTCAAGCCCTAAAAGCTGCTTATCTTTTTGAAGAAATAATATTACAATATATGAAATAACTACAAACAAAATTAGACAGTACTTGGGAAAGAAAGGTTACACAGCAGATCTGTAATCCATTCACACTCCTGTTTTGGGGTGGAGGGATGACTCTCTTGGCAAGAAAAAAGACAAGTACTTCAGGCTAATCCCCTGGTAAGCATATTAATAACAGACCTCCTGATATACACACTAATGGTACTTGCAGCAGGAGAGTCTCCATCCATGGAATGCTTCTATAGGATATATGTAGCCTAGGATTACTTATGTTAAACAGACCTAGAATGGATTTGAGCTATGTAACCTTCTGAGTATGAAACAGAGATGCTTTATAACCACAAGTGCTCCTTGTATGTCAGAGATGTGAACTGCACACATTGCTTAAACAACACACAGGTAATCATGTTTCCGAATATGCCCAAAGCAAAAAAGGACCTAGGGAGCCATGCTGATGGTCCTGGGCCTCTCTCTGCTTTGCCTGTGCCTCCTAATTACCTGTATCCTTTAAATCATTAGTAAAGATTGATACAGGGTAAGCTCTCTAACTCATATGAGTCTAACTGACACTCCCAAACCCTCTGTGTTATCTCTGTACTAAATCATAAAAGGCTACCTAAATAAACCCTTCTTTAATGTTGTGGAATAACCAGACTTACCTATTTTGGTCATGTCAGAAGGGACCAGTCCCTGGTGAAAGATATTATGCTTAATAAAGTGGAGGGTCAGAGAAAAAGGGGAAGACGCTCAATGAGATGGATTGACACAGTGGCTATGACAATAGGCTCAAGCATAGCAAAGATTGTGAGGACTAGGCAGGGCTGGGCAGTGTTCCATTCTGATATAAATAAGGTTGCTATGAGTCAGAATCAACTGGATGGCACCTAACAACAACAAGTGTTACAGAATGAATTGTGTTCCCCCAAATGTGTGTTAGAAACTAGAACCCCAGCACATTGTGGATGTAATCCCATTAGGGAATAGAGTTTTCTTTGTTATGTCAATGAGGCCACATTAATGTAGGGTGTGCCATAAACCTAATCAGTAATTAGACACAGAACCAAGGAATGCCCAGGGCTACTACAAGGAAAGAACCAACATGGCTGACACCCTGATTTGGGCTTTTAGCCACAGATTTTTGAAAAAATTAACTTCTGTTGTTTAAGCTACCTACTTGTAGTATTTCTGTTATAGCAACACTAGCTAAGATACCTTGGTTTTGCATTTTGAACTAAGACTTGAAGGGCAAGTAAATTTTTCAAAGATGTATGGGCAATGAAGAGTAAGAAAGGTAAGAAGCACCCACAGGTCCATGGGAAAGTAAGAATACAAGCCTGACTAACAAGAAGTAAATTGGAGACAGAGCTTAAGAGTACATCACAGGAAATGTCACATATCAGAGAGAATGGTCTAAATAGAATGCAGTATTTAAAAATAATAATAAGGTATTAACAGTGGAACATTAGAAATACTACTCTGATAACACGGTGAGGAAAGCATTTAGGATAAGGCTAATCTGGAATTAGGGAAGTTAGCTAATAGTTGTGGTAGTTCAATTTGTGTGTCAACTTGGCTGGGCCTGGTTGA